GGCCCGAAACGTCAGCCTCTCTGCTCCTATGATGCTGCTTGGCCTGCTGTGTTCATCCAGCCCTGCACCTTGTTGTCTCGGATTCTCCAGCATCTGCAGTTCCTACTATCTCTAATTCCATCTCTGAACGGGTTGATGAAAAAAACTTTCATAAAATGAAAACCGAAAGAACTGCCGATGCTGTAAATCAGGAACAAAAACAAAGTTGCTGGAAAAGCTCAACAGGTCTGGCAGTATCTGTGAAGGAGAAAACGGAGTTAACATTTCAGGTCCAGTGACCCTTCCTCAGAACTGATGGTGGCTGGGAAAACGTCAGTTTATGTGCAGAAAATAGGGAGGTGGGTGGGGTAGGGAGTAAATGATAGGATAGAGCCCAAAGAGAGAGAGAAAGACAATTGGACAGACAAAGGAGTTGCTAACGATCAGGCTGGGAGGGTGAATAGTTGTTAATGGGGGCTGTTTGTGACTAACAACAATGGGTGTGTAATGGCAGGCTATGTGGTAACAAGGCCTGGTGTGTGGGGTAGGGGGCTGGGACATGGGAGAGTTTAGGCCCTAAAATTATTGAATTCAATATTGAGTCCGGAGTGGAAAATGAGGTGTTGTTCCTCCAGCTTGTGTTGGGCTTTGATGTAACACTGCAGCCAGCCAGAGACAGAGATGTTTGCCAGGGAGCAGGGTGGTACGTTAAAGTGGAAGGCAACAGGTAGAATAGAACAGATCATAGAATAGAATCCCTACAGTGTGGAAACAGGCCATTCTGCCCAACAAGTTCACACTGCCCCTCCAAAGAGCATCCCACCCAGACCCATTCCCCTACCCCTGCATTTCCCTTGTCTAACCCACTTAATCTAAACATCCCTGGGCACTATGGGCAATTTAACATAGCTAGTCCACCTACCCTGCACATCTTTAGACTGTGGGAGGAAACCAGAGCACCCAGACACAGGGAGAACATTCAAACTCCACACAGACAGTCGCCTGAGGCTGGAATCAAACGCAGGTCCCTGGTGCTGTGAGGCAGCAGTGCTGACCACTCAGCCACTGTGCTGCCCAGGTAGTTCAGGGTCTTTTTCGTGAGTAGAATGTAGATGTTCTGCGAAGCGGTCGCCAAGTCTATGCTTCGTTTCTCCAATATAGAGGAGACCACGTTGTGAGCAGCGAATGCAGTAGACTAGATTCTGGGAAGTGCAGGTGAAGTGTTGCTTCACCTGGAAGGTATGTTTGGGCCCTTGGATACTGTGGAGGTAAGATGTAAATGGGCAGATGTTACACCTTCGCCGGGTACAGGGGAAGGTGCCGTAGGGCTGTGGGAAGGTGTTGGGGGTGAAGGAAGTGTGGACCAGGGTGTCCTGGAGGGAACGGGCCCCGCGGAAGGCGGACAAGGGAGGGGAGGGGAGGGGAATATGTGTCTGGTGGTGGCATCTTGCTGGAGGTGGCGGAAATGGTGTCTGATGATCTTCACAAAAACTTTCGTACTGTGTTCCTGACAAATACCCACCCGGAAAATACTGAACTCAGACGCCAGGGAAGATGGTTGCATAGCAGTAATGTCATCCAGAGGCCCAGTCTAATGCTTTGAATTTAAACCCCACCGTGGTAGCTGATGGAATTTAAATTCAACTAATAAGCCTGAAATTAAAACTGGTGACCCTTGATTGTTGTAGGAATCCATCTAGTTAATGCCCTCCCTTCAGGGAGAACAGTCCATTGCTCGTATTGGCATACATATGAATCCAGACTCACATGAATTTGGTTGACTCTTAACTGCCCTCTGAAACAGTCCTAGGAAGTCATCAGTTCAAAAGACAATTAGGGATTTCCAGAAAATGCTGGACTTACCAGTAATCCCACATCCTTGTGAAAAGTTTACAGAAAAAATATGTGATCCAATTGTGATGTTCACCTCTGCAATGTTATTTACAGGTACCTTCAGCTTCAATTGGAAATTGTGAACTATGATATTCTAATTTAATGAATCTTAAGCACAACAATCACCCAGCAAATTGGCAAAAGTGGAATGTAACTTTAATTGATTTGTTAAAGAATCTGGAATTTTAAGGAGGGAGTGTTGGGCAAGCTAATGGGGCTAAAGGTAGACGAGTGTCCTGGCCCTGATGAAATGCATCCCAGGTTAGTAAAAGAGATGGCAGTTCCAGAATATTGGAAAACAACAAATGTGATATCGCTGTTTAAAAAAAGGAGGTAGACAAAAGGCAGGTAACTATGGGCCTATTAGCTTAACTTCTGCAGTGGGGAAAATGCTTGAATTTTTAATCAAGGAATAAATAGTGAGACATCTGGATAGAAATTGTCCCATTGGGCAGACACAGCATAGGTTCATGAAAGGCAGGTCATGTTTAACTAATTTACTGGAAATCTTTGAAGACATTATGAGTGTGGTGGACAACAGGGAACCGGTGGATGTGGTGTATCTGGATGTCCAGAAGACATTTGACACAGTGCTGCACAAAAGGCTGCTGCATAAGATGAAGGTGCACAGTGTTATGGGCAATGTATTAGCAAGGATAGAAGATTGGTTTACAGAAAGCAAAAAGTGGGGATAAATGGGTGTTTTTCTGGTTGGCGACCAGTGGCGAGTGGTGTGCCTCAGGGATCAATGTTGGGGTTGCAATTGTTTACACTTTACATTGATGATTTTGAGTTGGGGACCAACTGTAGTGTGTCAAAGTTTGCAGATGATACTAACATGAGCGGTCGAGCAAAGTGTGCAGAGGACACTGGAAGTCTGCAGAGGGATATAATTAGGTTAAGTGAGTGGGCAAGGGTCTGGCCAATGGAGTATATGTTGGCAAATGTGAGATCATTCATTTTGGTAGGAATAATAGGAAAATAGACTATTACTTAAATGGTGAAAAACTGCAGCATGTTACTGTGCAAAGGAGCCTAGGTATCACTGTGCATGAATCACAAAAAGTTCAGTTGCAGGTGCAGCAGGTAATTAAGACAACAAATAGAATATTGTCCTTCATTGCTAGAGGAATGGAGTTTAAAAACAGGGGGGTTGTGCTGCAGTTGTAGAGGGTGCTGGTGAGGCCAAATCTGGAGTATTGTGTACAGTTTTGATCTCCTTACTTGAGAAATGATGTACTGGCACTGGAGGGGGTATGGAGGAGATTCATTAAATTGATTTCAGAATTGAGAAGGTTGGCTGATGAGGAGAGATTGAGTACAGTGGCACTGTTCTCATTGGTATTTAGAACAATCGGCGGGGGGGGGGGGGAGGAATCTTATAGAAACATATAAAATTATGAAGGGAATAGATAAGATAGAAGTAGGGAGGTTGTTTCCACTGGTGGGTGAAACTAGAACTAGGGGCATAGCCTCACAATAAGGGGGAGCAGATTTCGGACTGAGTTCAGGAGGAACTTCTTTACCCAAAGGGTTGTGAATCTCTGGAATTCCCTGTGAGAAAAGTAGTTGAGGCTACCTCGTCAAATGTTTTTAAGGCAAAGATACATAGATTTTTGAACAGTAAAGGATTTAAGGGTTCATAGAATCCCTACAGTGTGGAAAGAGGCCATTTGGCTGAACAAGTCCTCACTGCCCCTCTGACGAGCATCTCACCCAGACCCATTCCCCTACATTTCCCATGTCTAACCCACCTAACTTAAACATCCCTGGGCACTGTGGGCAATTTAGCATAGCCAATCCACCTACCCTCCACATCTTTGGACTGTGGGAGGAAACCTGTGCAGACACGGTGGGGGTGGGGGCGGGGAAGGTGCAAACTCCAGGTGCCCGAGTCTGGAACCAAACCTGGGTCCCTGGCGCTGTGAGGCAGCGGTGCTAAACACTGAGCCACCATGCTGCCCTGATTATGATAAGCAGGCGGATTAGTGGAACTGAGTCTACGAAAAGATCAGCCATGATCTTATTGAATGACAGAGTAGGCTCAATGTTATTTTTGCGCTTTTTAAAACTTTGGAATGAAATGACAAAGAACTGTTTAAAACCAAGTATTTACAAGGATGGCTGCATGATTTGAAAGCAAGGAATTTGATGCCTTTTGTGAACCATGTTTGTGTAGCTGTGAGTTCTAGAAATGTGCAGATAAACTGGAGTTAAGGAGCTGTTTACAAATGAAGCTGGCCCAATGTCAATTTATATTTGATTGCTTCCTTGGGAATTAAATTAGGACATTTTTACACATTAAAACACCAGAAAATACAATTTGTTGCAGTGACAGTTTTTGCTAGTGCCCATGGTACCCATATTTGAACCAAGGTACACGAATGGTCATTTCTGAACCAAATTTTAAACATCAATTATTTAAGAGAAACAAGAAAAAAGTGCTAGAAAATAACATGTTTATTTAATAGTGAATAAGGTAGATGAAAAGTATATTACTGACCAACAGCACATATATCTAAATACTTTTCACAACCAACACACATATGCACATTCAGAATTAACATTCAATGTTAAAACTCATTTAAAAATATTGATCTGTACCATTACTGATAAAGAATATCCATGTGAACACATTGAAACCTCCCATTTTGTACACAGTCATCTTAGATCATTCACAAATAAACCTAATTCAAGGCAGTTTATTGCTGTGCTTTTAAGGTTGATGCAAAGAAACCATAAGTCTGAATTTTCAGATGACTAGCAGCTGGAGAAGAACAGGATAAGAAGCTATACTATTAAGCCTGCATTGACATGAACAATAGCCCCAATTCTTCAATTGGAATCAATGCATTTTGTTTGGAGGGTCACACTTAACGTAATTGTGTATGATGACCCATAGAATGATGAGGGACACAAATGGCCCCTACATTTAAAGGGTGTGAGGGAATCCCAGTGAGGTTGACACATGAAGATTCTATTGGTTGTAATTTTTTTTGTTACAATTTCCTCTACCCACCTGATAACTGACCAAATTGAAGAAGGCTCACTGGACTTGAAAGGTTTATTCTGCTTTCTCTCCACAGGTGTTGCCAGATCTGCTGTGTTTCTCCTGCAATTTTTTTTTTGCTTCAGATTGACAGACTATTCAACTGCTAAGCAGGGAAACCAGATACAAAAGTTAAATTCAATCAAGCTCCCACTTGGAGGTATGCTTGGGCAGTTCAAGGGAGTGCTGTCTTGACCACATGTTTCTCCTCTTACCCCCAAAGGATAAACAAATGACACAGGTTAATCTGCAAGAAATCTGTAAAAGGGTTATGTCACAAATTGCCACAACTACAATAATTGGCACTAAGAAATTTGTTTCCTTTCTAATTGCCAACAGAAGACAGCAATACCTGTAGAATTAACCAATATTGTGCTGGGACGGAACAGTTTGAAAGGGGAGGTCTTGTAATAAAACCTCCAGGATTACATCCAATTGAAGGTGGAGATGTTTCATTAGAATTGACATAACATGCTTTACAACACAAAGAGTTCTATTGCTATTCACCAGAGGGTTGCTAGACAGGACATCAACTCAAGGCAATTAGTGAAAGAACCAAGGACGGCATGAGGGAAACCATGTTTCGGAACTGAAATGCCATGTCCGAGAGTGTGGTTGAGACAGATTCGATTGTGGCTTTCGAAAGGGAATTGGATTATTATCAGAAGAGAATGTTTTGCAGGGCTATGGGAAAAGGTGGAGGTCTGATACTGCTGAGTAGCAATCACAGAGAAACAGTCTGGAGAAAATAGATCAAATGGCCACCTTACTTCTGTGCTGTAGCCATTCTATGTTTCTAAACATCAACACCCTTTGCACCAACTAGAGAAAGGATAGAACAAAAGTGTGTAATTTATATCCCATCATAACATCACTCTATTTAAAACACAAACACACACACACACACACACACACACACACACACAATCTATGAAGAGGTTGCATTATTAGTGTGACATTTTCAATCAAGCAATGATTCTGAAGGCGTAAGGATAGATATCATTAAAAGAGATTTAAACAATAGTTTACAGAGCCAGATGGGATGGTGGGTTAGCATAATGACCTCTCATTCTTGTTTAGATAAAGATCCCATTATACACTCATGGGATGACAGTGCTCTGTGTTGCTAGAAGAGCCTTGTGAGACTCAACCAAGTTCGGCTGTGTACCCATTTTAAAAGGCTATCCATAACTGGGACAAGGGCTGAGATAGACCTATTTTCAATCAGTAAGTGAATCAGAGGTTAATGGAAGACAGCAGGAAAGTGGGGTTGAAGATTACCAGATCAGCCAAGATCCCATTGAGTGGAAGAGCAGACTCAACGCGCTGAATTGGCTACTTCTGCTCCTATGTCTTATGGAGAGTGGAGATTAAAATAGGAACAGAATGATGTAGTTCAGTTCCCTGTCAGTCAGTTAGATCATGGCTGGTGGGTATATCTCAAGTCTATTGAGCTACCTTGGTTCCATAAACCCCTATCAAACAACGCCTGTCAGCATGGTGGCTCAGTGGTTAGCACTGCTGCCTCACAACACCAGGGACCCAGTTATGATTCCAGCCTCACACAACTGTGTGGAGTTTGCACATTCTCTCCTTGTCTGTGTGTGTTTCTGTCCACAGTCCAAAGATATGCAGGTTAGGTGGATTAGTCATGGTAATTGCAGAGTTATAGCAATAGGATAGGGTGCTCTTTGGAGGGTTGGTATGGACTCAACGGGCCAAATGGCCGCTTCCACACTATAGGGATTCTATGACTCTATCAATTCCAATTTCCAGGTTGAAGCTGAGGCCCATTGCTGGGATAAAGGGAGATCTAGTCAGTGTTGAATTCCTGCGTACCTAATCTCAAACTGTGCTTGTTGCTGCTGGTGGGTGTGTCAACAAAATCCTCTCCACCTACATTCAGATGATCCACTCAAATGAATCAAATGATAAAGAACTGCAAATAAGGTAAATTTGAAGCAAAATGCACAGGAATCTAAAAATAATGAAACAAGAACAGCCATAGACCAAACTTCAGATAATTGCCAACAAATGCTCACAGAAATATCAGCAATCTTTGAATGGATGTTTTTTACATTCCTGATCTGTTCCCCTGTGCAACGGAATGGAGTTATTTTCGAACAAATGGAATTCTCCAAGGATTGACAGCTCAGAAAATGGCCATTCAGCCCAGTGTACCATTCTGGTGTTAATCCTCATCAAAAGCCTGCCCTTAATCTATCAGAAAAACCTTCCACTTTATTTCATTTGCTTCCCTTTCAGCATATCCACAATATTCAACTCATCAACTCTCTTCAGGAATCTTTGGTCGAGAGAAAAAAAATGACCTTACAGCTGCTGAAATCTGAGGCCTCCCCTACATGTGGTCTTGGTTATGATTCTTGACGGTTTAACTGCATGAGTTACATTATTAGTGTTTCATTTTGCACGGAGATTATGGTTAAATCTCCCCTGCATCTCACACACACAGACAAGAGCATCTGAAGACATTAACATCATGGAGCAACAACACTGCAAGATTTCAAAACAAATGAAATGGCACGACAAAAGTATACGTAAAATATTTGCTTAAAAAAAGTAAAATAATTCTTTTATATAGTCTCGATTGTGCAAACATTGCTACTTATAAGGTGAAAATGTAATGGAAAGGACTAATCTCAATAAAGGTAATATAATACAAATGTAATAACTGCTCCAGCTTCTATCTATATGATGTTGCCCTGAAAATATTTCTACCCTGGATCAGAACCAGAGTAAGGTCCCACTGTGAAGAAACAAACCATTCTGAAGTCGAGTTGCTACTAAAATACTTAAATGGCATTAAAATAGTTTCTCCTCATTTGGATCAGTGGGTTCAAAGTATTGTATAATAGCTCGTATTGCGCAGTGACCTCTTCATAGTCTCCATAAAACTATCCTGGGCCGAGCTACATGTATCTTAACAAAAGATAAGCATTCCAATTCAATGCCAAGTTTAAGTTTCACAGATTCCAAAACCAGGGAAGATTGGGATGGACTGGAGTTCTCCTAAGAAGATGGAGAAATCTTGACAACGACTCAAAGCCCGATAAGTGTAGGACACTGAGAGAAAATGCAACCAGACAGGGTGCAGAGCTGAATTGGTGACAAAGCTGGGTTTGAAAAGCTCACAAATTGCAAGAGGAAAGGAAGCTGAGGGACAAATGGAGTTTCATAATTTGGAGGGGAGACTGAGGGTGTTGAAGACAGGTCTGACAGTTTGGAGGTAGGAAGGAAGGGATGAGTTCAGAGAGTGGGAGATACAGTGAGACTCCAGGGAAAAGCAAGAGGGAGTAGGCTAAGGAGTTGGAAATTTCATTCAAACATTGTGACCCAATACAAAATCCTAGTCCGGTGACAATTTCATGTCCAGCGAATGATATATGAAATGAACGGTCATGTATTCCCCCACCCCGGATGCAGATGCACATTTTCATATCTAATGCCTGGTCCATGGGTGATGGAAATGTTTACAGAAGGGACTCATTGTGTCTTGAAGATTTTCTCATTATTATCTCAATATTCTACACATATTCAGCAATCCCTTTTAGCCTAGGGATTGCTCAGGCAATGCATTGAATTGGGATTTTCTCACAGAGTTTGTACTTTAAGTGAAGTTGAAAGTTCTGAGGAAGTTCTGCAGTGAAGGCAGTTCCAGAAGGTGAAGGTCACAGGAAACTGTCCTCGACATCGGGCAAACTAGTGTCAGCTTCAGTGTCCTCCTCAAGCTCCTTGGCGTCTTCAGTCACTGGCGCAGAATCACTGGAGTCAGCCAGCTCTCCATTCTCCCCACACACAAGGGAACTGAAAGGTGAGAACAGAGTAGACATGTCTCAGTAATCCCTGTTCATTCAGCAATGGAGTCAATGTTCTCTTTTGAATAATAACCTTCACACAAAGGACCAACACCTATAATTTGGGAGATTTTCAGTTTGCAAAGAACAGGAGAGAGAATATTGTTTCCGTCAGGACGCAATAATGAGAGCAGATCAACAAAAACAACAGAACTTATATTTCTATGGCATCTTTCACACCCTCACCACATTTTACAGCCGAAGGATTGATTCAACAAGGCAGCTCACCACCACCTTCTGAAGGTCATAAAGGGATGGGCAATAAATGCTGGTTCAGCTATGGACACTCATCTCCCACAAGTGAATAAAAAAGCACTGTTGTAAGAGACACAAAATGTCTACAAGCCAATTTGGCATAGCTAGCTCTCATAAATAGCAATATGATAATTACAAATAACGTATATTTTGTTTGCTAATGTTGGTTGAGACATCCATGATACCAGGAAGAGCTCTCCTGCTCTCCTGTGCCATGGGATCTTTTCCATCAACCTGCAACAGCAGAGAGTGCAATGCCTCCTTTGAAGTATGTGACCTCCAGCAGAGCAGCACTCCCTCAGTCCCACACTGGGGGGCAACTGGATTTTCTGGAGAGAAACCAAACCCACCACCTTCAAACCTAGAGCTGGGACAGAGTACTACTAACTTAGCCTGGAAATAATCAAATGAAATATTAGTGGCTGTTCACAACCTTGGTGCCGTTTTTGACCCAGAGAGGAGTGTTAAACCAAATACTAAGCCATCATGAAGATTGTGAAGTTTACTCCTCTATATCATCATCCACCTTTGTTCCTGTTTCAGTTGATCTGCTGCTCTTTCATGTCTTCATTTCTCTGCACTGGATTATTTTAATACACTCCTAGCTGGTCTCCCACACTGTCCCTGTCCTACCACATCCAGACTCATCTAACAAAGCAGTGCAGGGCAAAGCCAGGGCAAACCGAAAATCACTAAAAATATAAGAAGTAGCAATAAAGGAGTGAAAAGAAATAGAGAATTGATACAGCAGCGTGGGAGACAGCATAGGTACATTGGGCTGAATGGCCTCACATAAGGCTGTTTGAATTTTTATCACCCTGCAAAGCTTTGAGGATCCGTTGAATGTTGGCATGGTTCTTTACCTTGGCCTTGTTCCTGCAGCAGACTCACTTGGGGAATTCTCCATCGGAATGCTGGTGTCTGCTGATACCTCATGGGGCTCTGGGTCCGGCAGTGGGATGATATAGCCGTTATTGGTGCCATTGGGCAGGCTCTCTGTACAGTTGGAGTAGATCACGTTGTCGTTAACTTGGAAGAATTTAACCCCGGTGCGACCCATGGCTGGGTGATCACCCTTCAGAAAGTCCTGGTTAACCTGGGCGTATTTCTAGAGGAGGTATGGGAGGAGGGGAGGATAAGGGAGGAGAGGAGGGTGGGGCAGAAGACAATAACAAACAGAAAATAGATCAACTTTAAGGCATATGATAAATTTCACTCTATCTTTCCCCATCAACGGCACCATATTTCATCATTCATAGAATCACTACTGTGTGGAAGCAGGCATTCAGCCCATTAAGGCCACACTGACCTTCAAAAGAGCATATCACCCAGACCTGGGTTGCAGGTTTGGAAGGTGTTGTTGGAGGAGACTTGGCAAGTTACTGTAGTGCACCTTGTAGATGGTACATTCCTGCTACTGAGTGTCAGCAATGGAGGGAGTGAATGTAAGGTGATCAAGGGATTGAGTGTTGAGAGTGGTGGAGGGAGTGTGTGTTGAGGGTGGAGGACAGAGTGTGTGTTGAGGGTAGATGGAGGGAGTGAGTGTTGAAGGTGGTGAAGGGAGTGAGTGTTGAGGGTGGATGGAGGGAGTGCGTGTCAAAGATGGGGGAGGGAGTGAGTGTGGAGGATGGTAGGGGGAGTGAGCTTTGAAGGTGGTGGAGGGAGTGAGTGTTGAAGGTGGTGGAGGGAGTGAGAATTGAGGGTGGGAGACGGGGTGAGTGTTGAGGGTGGGAGAGGGCGTGAGTGTTGAGGGTGGTGGATGAGGTGCTGATCAAGAAGCTGCTTTGGCCTGAACATCCAATATATGAACGGTGTCAATACTGGCAAAGCTGGCAAGATAATATTCTAAAAATAAAATGTGCATTTCATTCAATATTATCATTACCTTCTTGTAGCCCTCACTGAGCTGGTTCCCCATGTAGGTTACTAAATTTGAAAATGAAGGTCTTTTCTCAAATTCATCATTCCAACATTTTTGCATAATTTGATATCTGAAAAATAGTTTCAAACACAAATTATTATATGCAAGTCCCAATAGTAGCTCTTGTAAACTTAGCATGGAGGTCAGGTCACTGTGAATGTTTATGGATCATGAGTAGTTTATTGTATTCCAAATATATTCTGGGGATGTGGGTCTCACCATCTTTCATTGTCTTGGACAAAGTGGGTACTTTATCTATGTACGAAGACCCGCAGTGCTGTTAGAATGAAAGTTGTAGGATTTTGACCCAGTGACACTGAGGGAATGGCAATATATTTCTAAGTCAGAAAGGTGTATGGCTCGGAGAGGAACTTGCAGGTGGTGGTGTTCTCACATATCTGCTGCCCTTGTCCTTTCAGATGGTATGGGTTTGGAAGCAGTTGTCTTTCCTTCTTTCTGTGGAATCCCTCCCTCTCCCTCAATCTCTCCTCTGAAGTGTGTGATGTTTCCCACTCCCTCAGCCCCCTCTCATTGCATCTCACTTTCCCTAAGTCTCCGCTTCTCTCTGCCTCCTTTTGCACAGTCTCATCAGATGAACCTCTCTCTCCTTCAGCCTCCCATCCCCTTAGGCCTCTCTCCCTTAGCTTCTGTGCCCCTCAGCTGCCCTCCTTCCTCAGCCACCCTCCTTCTGCAGCATGCCATTTCTGAAAACTGTAGGGCTTTCAGTCTCCCCCTCACTCTTATGACCTGCGGGCTTTTAGTAAATGGGACATGGTGACCTCCCCATCCTTCTCTCCCCCATCTGCTCCTTCAGGCTTTCTATTCCACCTTTTTCAATCCAAGGAGATCCTGGTGTGCCTTCTCTTGTTCCTAATTGTCAATCATTCTCGTCTAGTCTGCGCCTGAATCAGCAGCTCCTGACTTTTACTCACAATTCATCTGAGGCGTACTGAGGTTTGGGCATTCTGTACCCATGCCTGATAGCATTGTAGAATTGGTCATTGACAGGAAGGTCCGGATACGGTGTTCCACCTTGGAGAGAGATAGAAAGAAAAACGGCATAAATTTAAAAAGGAGACAGAGAGGGAGAGAGAAAGAAAGAAGATGAAGAAGTGAGAAAGAAAAGAGTAAAGGAGAATGGAATGAAGGCAGAAGATAAGGAAATCATTGTTATTTAGGGATTAACCACCAATTTGATGTCACCCACGTTGATGCAAGGCTCAGTCTAGTCATTAGATCTAATTCAGAAAAGCCTTACATTTATATAACACCTTTCACAGACTTAGGATACTTTGAAGCCCTGAAGCCAATTAGAAATCCTAGAAAGCCTAGAAATCTGGGTACTGCAGCCAATTTGTGTGCAGAAAGATCCCACAAAAGCTGAAGAGACATTTTTGTTATTTTAAACTCACATTGGTTGAGGGCTAAATATCGGTTCAAGATCTGGGGAGAAGGCATTTACGATTGTTTGAAATGTCAACGATGGGATCTTGTAAGCCAGCCGCATGGCTTTAGTTTAACCCCCTTTAATCTGGAAGCCCCTTTGACACTACTGCAGCCCTCCCTCAGTCCTGCACTCAATTATGATCTCAGGTCTCTAGAGTGGGGAAGAAAATCCACACTTTCCTGACTGAAAGAGAGTGCCGTCAATTGCACCACTGCTAGTCACCAACTCATTTCCAACCACTGGATGCATCTGTGGAGCTGAGATAGTCACCGTCAAAGGCCAATTGAGAACATAGGAACAGGAGGCCATTCAGCCCTCCAACACTGCTCTTCCATCTAATGGGAACGCGGTTGATCTGTATTTTAACTCCAAATGTTGCATGATGGAGATATAACACAAATTAAGGCCAGGAGGGTTGCAAAATCAGCCTGGTCTCCCAAACACTGAAGTGCCATTTATGATGAAGGAAGTCAGAGAGGGAAGACAGATGTTAGGTTTTTGACGGTCCTTACCAAGGGTGAAGATCTCCCAGAGGAGGACTGCGTAGGACCAGACATCGCTCAGTGTGGTGTATAGATTGTTGAAAATGCTCTCCGGTGCCATCCATTTCAGAGGCAAAAAGGTCTGGGAACCAGGTCAATAAATAGTTACTAATCTGGTGGTTTCTATTTAAACAAGTAATAGTTCATAACAATTACATAATACATGTCTTAAGTGTAACTTTAGCCTTTTTTTCATTTGTTCACAGAAAAGTGGGCATCACTGGCCGGGCCAGTATTTACCTTTCCTCAAAGAACATTGACAAATCAGATGAGCTGATTGATTTTTTTATTGTCCCGTGTACCGAAATACAGTGAAGGCACAGCAGCTAAAGTTGTAGCCAACACCAAGATAGGCAGGCAAGCATGTTTTGAAGAAAACATAAAGAGATTGCAAACAAAATTGCTGGAAAAGCTCAGCAGGTCTGGCAGCATCAGTTCTGAGGAAGGGTCATCGGACCTGAAACATTAACTCTGTTTTTCCCTTCACAGATGCTGCCAGACCTGCTGAGCTTTTCCAGCAACTTTGTTTTTGTTCCTGATTCACAGCATCCGCAGTTCTTTTGGTTTTTATTGCAGACAGAGATGGATAGATAGGTTGAGTGAGTGGCCAAAAGTCTGGCAGATAGAGTACAATGTGAGAAAATGTGAAGCTGTTCCTACTGTAGTAGGAAGATTAAAAAAGCAGGATGTTCCTTAAATAGAGAACGGCTGCAGAATTGCAAACTACAGAGGGATGAGTCACAAACTGTTAGTATACAGGCTCAGCATGTAATCAAGAAAGCTAATGGGGTGCTATCGTTTATTGTGAGTCGAACTGAACATAAAAGTAAGGATCAGTTCCGAAGAAGAGTCTCTGGACCTGAAACATTAAGTCTGCTTTCTCTGCATAGATGCTGCCAGGCCTGCTGAGATTTTCCAGCAATTTCTGATTTTGTTTATAAAAGTAAGGATGCTGTGCTTTATTTAAAATGGTCAATGGAGAGACCATATCTTGAATACTGTATGCAGTTTTGGTCTAAGAGACCTCCTCAGAGAAGGAGATAACTGCATTTGAGGCAGTTTATGGAGGTTTACTGGATTGATATCTGGAATGGGCTGGTTGTCTTATGAGAATAGGTTAGACAGGCTGGTATTGTTTTCCCTGCAGATTAGAAAAGTGAAGGGTGACCTGATTGAAGTGTGTAAGATCCTGAATGGTCTCCAAAAGGTGGAAAGGATGATTCCTCTAGTAGGTGAGTCCAGAGCTAGGAATTAATGGTTAGCCTTTTAGGACAAAGATGTGGAGAATTATTTTTTCCATAAAGGGGTTGTGCGATTTCAGGACTGTTTGCCTCAGAAGGTGGTGAAGGCAGAGTAATTGAATATTTTTAAGACAAGAGGTGGATAGATTCTTGCTTGGCAGAGAATAAAGGATTCTTAGCGTTAGATGGAAAGGTGGAATTCAAAACTCAAACAGATCAGTCTTGATCTTACTGAACAGCAGAGCAGGTATGAAGGGGCTGAATGGTCTACTTGTGTCACTAGTTGTTATATCCTCAAAATTGCAAGTCTAACTAGAGAGAGCAGAAGAAAAAGAGGGGAGAGAGGAAAGAGACAGATGGGGAGGGAAATAAGGAGGTAAAGAAAATGAAAGGGGGAAGGAGAAAGGGGGAGAGAAAGGATGGAGGACAAAAGGCAGAGGGAATAAAGGGGGGAAAGAAAGAAAAAGAAACAGATGGAGGGTGTGTATGAGAGATCTGGTGGGAAAGATAGAAAGGGACAGATAAAGAGAGAAAGTGACAACTTACATTTCTATATCACATTTCACTACCTCTGGCCATTCCTCAGTGCTTTACAACAATGAACAGCAGAGTGAGACAGAGGAATGAGGGTACATGATTGATAAATATTTCCCAACAGTACAATTGGTGCATGATGTCATAAACCTCACAGGGATTAATTAACTCACTGCAATATTATATGAGTATAATGATAGAAACACATAAAAGCAAATTTGAATGACTAATCAAAAGAGCGATTGATCAATCAGTGAACTGATGGCTTGATTATTGATGGATCAACAAATTGAAGAATCACTGAACAGATTGATGAAGCAACGTTGGATTGATGGAGAGGTAACAACACAGGATTAATAAGGCTAGCCACCCATTATGGAACAGTTATATCACAGAAGGAAGCCATGCAGTGTCGCAGTGGTATTGTCCCTACCCTTGAACCAGGCGGCCAGTGTTCAAGTCTCATCTCCCATGGACGCGTGTAATAACATGTCTAAGCAGGTTGACTAAATATGGAGCAAGTGGGGTAAGCATCTGGCAAGATGATTGATAAAGAGAGGCCACAGTTTTCAGAGAAAAAAAATTAAAGTCAATGGGAAGGGCCCTCTTGTGGCACAATGGTACTGTGCCTACACCTAGACCGGGAGGACTATGTTCACGTCCCACTATCTTCAGGGGTGTCTATATCATCTCTGAATTAGTTAATTAGAAACACAAGTTCATAAAGAAAGGTCATTCAGCCCATCCTATCTGTTACTCCTTATGGATACTGTTTGACTTACATGTCAATGCAAACTGATGCAAGAAAGATATTCATATGGATCACAATACTTGTACAAACAGATTTTTAGAGATATCAATAGTTATACAAAATGTGATATTCATACATATGGACAGCAATACTTATACAGTCCACGATACTTAAGCAGGTCGCATTATTAAAACAGGACATGATATTCACACAGACGAGAATATTTCATGGATCGTGATAATAATACGATTTGTGATATTTGAGCAGATGACGAGATACTCACACTGCCTCTTGAAATATAATTGGAATCATTCATTATGTCCCGTGCTAATCCAAAGTCACAGATTTTTGCGAGTTTTCCTTCACAGATCAGTACATTCCTCGCAGCTAAATCCCGATGGACGCACTACCGAAACAAAAAAACTAAAATCAATCTATCACACCTTCACAATAATACTCCAGGAACCCAGTGACATCATCAGGAATTGGAAGAGGGGATCCCAGTGACATCATCAGGTCTGACAGCCAGGGGATTCCCCAGAAATCCAATGATGTCATCAGGAATGACAGCGTACCTGAGACTTTCGAGTGGTGCACTGCACTACCTGGTTCAACCTGGTTTTAATGTCCTTCAGGGAAGGAAATCTGCCATCCTCACCTGGTCTGGCCTACAGGTGAAATCCAGACCCATTGCAATGTGTTTTACTCTCAACTGCCCTCTGAAATGGCCTAATAAGCCATTCAGTTGTATGAATCGTGACAAAATCTCAACCAGACAAACCTGGCACTGAACTAGGCACCAGAAACAACAATGGTAGAAACAGCCCTGTTGACCCTGCAAAGTCCTCCTGACTAACATCTGGGGGATAGATCCAAAATGGGGAGAGCTGTCTCACAGAGTAATCAAGCAATAGCCTGACATAGTCATATTCACGGAATCATACCTTATATAGTGTCCCAGACACCACCATCACCATCCCTGGATATACACTGACCCATTGGCAGGACAGACCCAGCACAGGTGGTGGCACAGTGGTATACAGGGAGTTGCCCTGGTAGTCCTCAACTTTGACCCCACAAAGTCTCATGGGTTCAGGTAAACAATAGGCAAGGAAACCTCCTACTGATTGCCACGTACCGTTCTATCTCATCTGATGAATCGGTACTCTTCTATGCTGAACAACACTTGGAGGAAACACTGAGGATGGCAAAGGGGCAAATGTACTCTGGGTGGGGGATTTCAATATCCACCACCAAGAATAGCTTGGCATCAGTACTACTGATCGAGGACATAGTTGCTAGACTGGGTCTGTGTCAGGTGGTGAGTTAACCAACAAGATGGAAAAACATACTTGACCTCATCCTTACCAAACTGCCGACTGTGAATGCATCTGTCCATGACAGTATTGGTAAGAGTGACTACCGCATAGTCCTTGTGGGGATGAAGTCCTGCCTTCGCATTGAGAACAACCTCCATCGTGTTGTGTGGCACTATCACCGTGCTAAATGGGACAGATTTCAAACTGATCTAGCAATTCAAGACCAGGCTCTGTGAGGCGCTGTGGGCCATTAACAGCAGCAGAATTGTACTCCAGCACAATCTGTAACCTCATGGCCCGGCATATCCCGCACTCAACCATTACCATCAAGCCAGGGGATCAACCCTGGTTCAATGGAGAGTGCAGGAGGGCATGCCAGGGTCAGCGTCAGGCATACCTGAAAATGTGGTGTCAACCTGGTGAAGCCACCAAACAAGACTACATGCACGCCAAACAGCGAAAGCAGCAAGTGATAGACAGAGCTAAGTGATCCCACAATCAACAGATCAGATCCAAGCTCTGCAGTCCTGCCACATCCAGTCATGAATGGTGATGGAAAATTAAACAACTCACTGGAGGAGGAGGCTCCACAAATAGCCCCGTCATCAATGATGGAAGGTCCCAACACATAATTGCAAAAGATAAGGCTAAAGCATTCGCAGCAATCTTCAGCCGGAGGTGCCGAGTGGAATATCCATCTCGGCTCCTCCAGTGGTCCCCAAAATCAAATATACCAGTCTTCAGCCAATTTGATTCACTCCACGTGACATCAAGAAATGGTTGGAAGCACTGGACACTGCAAAAGGTATGGGCCCTGACAACATTCTGGCAACAGTACTGAAGACTTGTGCTCCAGAACTTGCTGCTCCCCTATCAAGCTCTTCCTGTACAGTTACAACACTGACATCTACCGGACAATGTGGAAAATTGCCCAGGTATGTCCTATACACAAACAGCAGGTCAAATCCAACCTGGCTAATTCCTGCCCCATCAGTCTACTCTCAATCATCATTAAAATGATGGAAGGTGTCATCAATAGTTCTATCAAGCAAAACCCGCTCAGCAATAACATGCTTAGTGTTGCCAAGTTTGGGTTCTGCCAAGGTCACTCAGCTCCTGACCTCATTACAGCCTTGGTCGAAACATGGATAAAAGAGCTGAATTCTAGAGGTCAGGTGAGAGTGACAGCCCTTGTCATCAAGGCTGCATTCAACTAATGTGGGATCAAAGAGCCCGACCAAAATGGAATCAATGGGAATCAGGGGGCAAACTTTCTGCTGGAGTGTGTCATAGCTGGCACATAGGAAGATGGTCGTGGTTGTTTGAGGTCAGCCATCTCAGCTCTACATCACTGCAGGAGTTCCTCAGGGTAGTGTCCTAGGCTCAACCATCCACAGCTACTTCATCAATGATCCTTCCTCCAACTTAAGGTCAGAAGTGTGGATGTTCGTCAATGGTTGCACAACATTCATCACCAATACGCCTGGGCTCAGTGCGTGAAAATGACAGCACAGACCCCATCAAACACACTAGGCAGCGGCAGAGACAAACACATACATAGGGGGCAGAGAGAGAGAGACAGGAACAGATACAGAAAGAAAGAGAGAGAGAAAGACAGAGACAGAAAGAGAAAAACAGAGAGAGAGAAAGAGGGAGATAGAGACAGAAAGAAAGGTAGAGAGATAGACAGACAGAAAGAGATAGACAGGGAGAGAGAAAGACAGGGAAAGTGAAAGAGAGAAACAGAAACAGAGACAGACAGACAAGGAGTGAAAGAGAAAGCAAGCAGAAAGATCGGAAGAGAGTGACAGACCGAGAAATTCAGAACATAGAAAGACAGTAGACAGGAAGACACAAATGGAAACACAAATGTGGAGACACAGATTTGAACGGCTTACATTTTTCAATGATAGGAATTCCATTCCTTGTGCCACCTGATAACTGATTCCAACCAGGTCCATGTAGCTCAGAACCGGAGACTCGCTGATCAGTAGTTTATCCTCTGTGACCTCGTGCTCTTTCAAAAAAAAAAGACAGGACTGTGTAAGGGCCTTGAAATCATGATGAAATTGCATCTTTCTGAAGCATATCAATTTATGCAACAAATAACCAATTAGTTTGACTTTGGTTGCTTGCTGTTATGTAGGGAGACCTATAGCCATCTTATGCATAGCAAGATCCCACAACCACCACATGCAGCTAACCTGTGCTTCACTGTTGCTGAGGTTGTCAGACACATCTTACCTCAGGATTTGGGGAGAATCAAAGGTTTCCTTCTCATTATACCTGGGGTCTTTAATGTCCTTTTAAACCCCCAGATGGGACCTTGTGTTAACAACTCAAGAAACAGCATATCCCATAATCAGGGTCACCACTCCTTCAGGAATGGACTGTGGTCTCTGGGAATTAATGATCAATCTTTGGGATGGCTGTGTGGAGAAACTAAGGACTAAAGTCTTGAAGGCATTACGTTTTTATACCTTAAGAAATGTTCCATTTGACTGAAAAGAAAATTGGGGCTGTCATAATGTCAGAATGATGATGTTCTTCATAATCACTTTGAAGTATACTGGATGTTCTAATGTAGGAAACAAAACAGCTAATCCGACAGAAGCAAACAGCAACACAATAATGACTAGATCATTTTATTTGATCAATATTGGTTAAATATTGACCAAGACCCTGGGAGGGAGCTCTCTTGTTTTCCTTGGTTTAGTGATAACACTCTCATATGTCTAAGTTAAAATGCTGTGGTCCCGTTCAAGCCCCACTCCAGGCCTCTGGGCACCAACTGCAGACTAACACCCTTGATACAGAATGCAACTCTGTCAGAGGTGCCCTCTCTTTCAGAAGAGATTTTTAACCAGTGCCCCTGCTACCCATGACTATAAAAGATCAGAAACTGAACTGGACCAGCCGTATGATTACAGGGTCAGGCCAGAGGCTGGGAATTCTGTCACAAGTAACTCACTTTTTGACTACTGAAAGTCTGCCCATCATTTACAAGGCACAGGTCAGGGGTGTGATGGTAATTTCCACTGCTTTGATGAATGAAGCTCCAGGAGCACTCAAGAAGCTCGAAACCAACCAGGACAAAGCAGCTTGCTTGATCGACATAACCGCCCAACACCTTCAACAATCACTCCCTCCACCATCAACACACAGTAGCAGCAGTGTGTGCCATCCACAAGATGCACTGCAGAAATTCGCTAAGTCTCCTTAGACAGAGACTTCCACAAATCTGTCATCTGGAAGGACAAGAGCAGCAGATACATGGCTACTCACCGTCCTGACTTGGAAATATATTGCCGTTCTTTCACTGTCATTGGGTCAGAATCCTGGAATTCCCTCCCTAAGGGCATTTTGGGTCAACCTACAGCACATCATGTACAACAGTTCAAGAAACAGCTCATCACCACCTTCTCAAGGGGACACACACATACCCCATGAAAAAATTAGAAGCATTGTTGATTGCGAGATTTTGCTCTGCAAAAAAACTGTCACATTTCCTACATTGTGACAGTGACTCCCTTTCAAAAAAAATACTCCATTGGTTGTGAAGTGCAGGAAAAGTTCCTGAAGATGTGAAAGGAATATAAAAATACAGATCTCTCTTTGACCCTCCAATTGTTCAGGTGGAGTTTGAAACTTCCCGGTTTCACACAGAGAGAAAGGATCTCTTTGAGCTTTAAAATATATTCATTAACATCTCTTGTTCATTAAATCTGTACAAGCAACAGCCTGCAGTATAAAGCAGCTGCCAGTTGGTGGCAGTCATGGTTTGTAGTTCAGGAGGAAAGGAGCAGAAACAATGGAGAAGGCACAGAGAGGGAGATAGAGAGATAGAGAGTCTGGTATAGGTAATGATTGAGAGAATGAGATTGAGATTGAGAGAGATAGAAATAGAGGGATAGAGAGAAAGGTAGGCATAGACAGGGATCGAAAGATTAAGAGAGAGAGAGAATTACCAGTGGCTCTCCTGTGAGTAGTTGCCTGTTCTGCACAAAACACTCGAACAAAATGGTACAAGATAAAGAGGTGGTGACAGAAAGTGAGTGGGGGAGATAAAGGAAATTGAGGAGGGAAGAGGCAGAGGGTGAGCTATCAGCGACAGAAGAGAGGGGTTGGGAGAGGATGTATGAGGAGGGGGTAGAGAGAGAAGGGTTTAGGACAGAGACAGGTGGGATAGAGAGGGTTTGGAGTGTGGGAGAGAGCAGCAGGAGAGAGAGAGGTTGGCGTGTGGAAAAGAGAGGGAGATAGGGGGCAGAGAGAGACAGAGAGCAGTGCTGGGGAGAGAGAGAGTGTGAGGGAGGGAGATGGGTGTAGGAGAGGGGAGGTGGGAGAGGAAGATAGGTCAGCACCTGATAACCAGGATTTGGGGCTTTAGGGGGCTCAGGTGCTCAGGTCAGGAGCTGGGAACCAGGATCTGTGAATTTTCTCTCTTACCCAGAGAGTAGTCAGGGGAGTACGGAGGGGAGAGGGAGAGGGAGTGGGAGAGAAGAATGAAGTGAAGGAGATAGGGGAAGATATAGGCAGTGGGTGAGGAAGCTGGAAGGGAACAGGAAAGAAGGGGCAGGATAGAGAGAAGTGGCAGGAGAGTACGGAGGGGCAGGTGACAGGACAGAGAGAGAGAGAAAAAAAGAGAGAAAAGATAGAAAAAGAGAAAGAAACATGACAAGGAGGTTTAGGAGGGAGGTTGAGGTGGAGGGAGTGAGGGGAGTTACCAGTGGGGGGGCTTGTCTCCTGTGAGTATGGCCTGTTGTAATCAGGGTGTTCGATATCAGCGTAGTTTGGTTCATGTTTAGCCTCCAGCATTGGCATGTACTCAAGCTGCTCATCTTTAGTCATGTCCATGTATCCTCCATCATTCTCAAATGACAGGGCCACGTAACTGTGGGTGAGAGTGAGAGGGGTGAAGGAGTGAGACACAGTACGAATTATCATTATCGTGAACAATACAGTACAAGGACCTGCTTCCACGTTGGTGAAATAAAAACCACAGAACAGGGCAGCACAGAATGAACCCACTCAATCCATTGTGTCTCTTTGGAAGGGCTGTCTAATGAGTCTCATACTCCTCTCTCCCTGCATCTCTGTAAATAATAATAATTTAACATTGAATGTATTCTGTTTTATCCAGTCCCCTTTTCAAAATTGTGATCTAATGTTTCCACTGCCCTTTCAGGCAGCACCTTCAAGATCACACCAACTCACTGGGTAAAACAAACCTTTCCCTCTCTGGTCCTTTGGTCATTTCCATCAAAAATTGGTTTGAGTGTGCCGTGGAGGGCCATGGCAAATGTGAATAAGTCAACCTCAGCTCTCTATGAATCTATGAGGAGGAGGGGGATTGAAATCAGGAAGCTTTCCCTGACCCTTCATCCACCAAGTCCCAGAATTGTCCCAGATTTTAGCAACACCAGCTGTTCGAAGGATGTGCTGGTGTATCTTCGTGGGCCTTTGGCAGGTTATGGCAATTGTGGATTTTAAGGTTTAGTGGAATTTCCTGTTGCAGTTCTCAAACTGTTAACTCCTAACATTTACTATATTGTGTACTGCAAACGTTGACTAGAATAAAGGACCGGGAGCATACCAGAGACCAGTGTACAGAGTGAGAGAGAGCGAGAAATGATTGCGCAGAAAGAGTGACAGCGCACAGAAAGACAAGTGGGGAAGTGATGGCCTAGTGGTATTACTGTTTGACTGTTAGTGCAGAGATCCAGATAATGTTCTGGGGAGCTGTGTTCAAATCCTGCCATGGCAGATGGTGGAATTTGAATTCAATTTAAGAAGAAAATCTGGAATTAAGAATCTAATGATGACCATGTATCCATTGTCGATTGTTTGAAAAACCCATCCAGTTCACTAATGTCCTTTAGGGAAGGAAACCTGCCTCCCTTACCCAGTCTGGCCTACATGTGACTCCAGAACCGCAGTGATGTTTTTGACACTTAACTGCCTTCTGGACAATTAGGGATGGGCAATAAATGCTGGCCTAGCCAGCGATACCCACATCCTGTAAATAAATAAAAAAAATGTGGACAGAGAGACAGACGACCACAAACAGAGAAGCAATTGCACAGAGAGGGCCCTGCACACTGAGAGATGTGTTGCAGCCTATAAAACATGAAGAGTGGTGTCTAACTGCAACTGCAGGAAGTCAGGAGGATGGGTTGGTCTCTCAAACCCATAGGGTTTGACACTGTTCTGGCTACTTCTGGAACAGAGCCAAAACAAATTCCAAGAAAAATAGAAATTGAGAATCGGAAACTATTTCCACAATTACACACAGGATAGAAATAACTGGTCATTTGCATAGGTTGTGTTAGGAATTCAAACGCCCTTCATTGTTACACTGAAGCCTGGTTTAGAAATGTTACTAATCCCTTCAGTTTGATCCACGAAATCCTCCCATAACAAAACTACTGCTGATGAGAGGGAATGTCACAACTTAAAATCTCAGTTATTTTCTGATTCCTCTTTATGCTAAATTTCCTTAAAGGATGATACTGTAAAACAGGAATGATTGAGAGGGACAAGGAAGAAACTTCCCATTGTCAGGAATTCAACATTAGGGCTGGCATTCAACTGTACAATATGTACAGTGCTAATCACAGTCAGTACAGTACTCAGCCAATTCTGGATACGATGGAGAATTGCATGCAGTTTTGCTCTCCCTGACTAAGAAATGACATCAGAGATAGTAGGAACTGCTGATGCTGGAGTCTGAGATAACAAGGTGTGGAGCTGGATGAACACAGTAGGCCA